CATGGGCCTCCCCCTAGGCCCCGTCAGCCTTAAATGAGTACCTGGATTGCGATGCGTATAAAGCAACTGCGGAGACAAAGGCGGCCGTGCGTGGATGCTAACCACCCACACCCCCCTCGTGTGCAAGGCCACACGGTGTGGGATCTTTTGGGTGGCCTCTGTATGTCCCCACGTGTTCGCATTTAATGTTTGGTGAGGGTGTGAGGGTGGCAGGTAGTCAAATTACCCTCTACATATATTTATAATAAGAAAAAAACCAAATCGACCGCGATCCCTGTGGCCTCACCAGCTAGTTTCGGCCGCCGCTTTCATCTCTGCAGGGCCCACAAGGTCAAAGGTGACCTGCCGCAGAGGTTAGGAGGTTGTGGGAGCTGTTCCAGATGGTCAAGAACGTCCCCCAGACCCATAGACTCACACATAGACCCATAGACTCACACAGAGACCAATAGACTCACACAGAGACCCATAGACTCACACAGAGACCCAGACTCACACAGAGAGCCATAGACCCACACATAAACCCATAGACTCACACAGAGACCCATAGACTCACACAGATACCCATAAACTCACACAGAGACCCATAGACTCACCCAGAGACCCATAGACTCACACATAAACCCATAGACTCACACAGAGACCCATAGACTCACACAGAGACCCATAGACTCACACAGAGACCCATAGACTCACACGGAGACCCATAGACTCACACAGAGAGCCATAGACCCACACATAAACCCATAGACTCACACAGAGACCCATAGACTCACACAGATACCCATAAACTCACACAGAGACCCATAGACTCACACATAAACCCATAGACTCACACAGAGACCCATAGACTCACACAGAGACCCATAGACTCACACAGAGACCCATAGACTCACACAAAGATCCATAGACTCACACAGAGACCCATAGACTCACACAGAGACCCATAGATCCACACATAAACCCATAGACTCACACAGAGACCCATAGACTCACACAGATACCCATAAACTCACACAGAGACCCATAGACTCACCCAGAGACACATAGACTCACACATAAACCCATAGACTCACACAGAGACCCATAGACTCACACAGAGACCCATAGACTCACACAGAGACCCATAGACTCACACAAAGACCCATAGACTCACACAGAGACCCATAGACTCACACAGAGACCCATAGACTCACACAGAGACCCATAGACTCACACAAAGACCCATAGACTCACACAGAGACCCATAGACTCACACAGAGACCCATAGACCCACACATAAACCCATAGACTCACACAGAGACCCATAGACTCACACAGATACCCATAAACTCACACAGAGACCCATAGACTCACCCAGAGACCCATAGACTCACACATAAACCCATAGACTCACACAGACACCCATAGACTCACACAGAGACCCATAGACTCACACAGAGACCCATAGACTCACACAAAGACCCATAGACTCACACAGAGACCCATAGACTCACACAGAGACCCATAGACTCACACAGAGACCCATAGACTCACACAAAGACCCATAGACTCACACACAGACCCATAGACTCACACAGAGACCCATAGACTCACACAAAGACACATAGACTCACACAGAGACCCATAGACTCACACAAATACTCATAAATCCCCCCCCCCAGCCCCTAATGTGATCATCACTGCATCGCTTTGATTTATCCAGGGGACTTAATGTTTAGATTACAGACATTTAAAAAAAAAACAATGATATGAACGGTAAACATTTTTATCGCAGAAATGTTGTTTTGTTTCGAGTAAAATATTATGTTCAATTGTCGCCGCCTGAATGGGTTTTGTGGGCATCAGGAGTAAAGATTGTTCACTCTGCAGCAGCACAAACTACAAACCAGATCACATCGAGATACAAACTACAAACTTGTGGTCGTTTATGCCGAGAATATTGTTGCTGTCAGACTGCGGCGGTGGTGGTGGTGACGGTGGTGATGGTGGTGGTGACAGTGGTGGTGACCGTGGTGGTGGTGGTGGTGGTGATGGTGGTAACGGTGGTGACGGTGGTGATGGAGGTGGTGATGGTGATAGTGACGGTGGTGATGGTGGTGGTGATGGTGACGGTGGTGATAGTGGTGGTGGTGGTGATGGTGGTGACAGTGGTGACGGTAATGGTGGTGGTGACGGTGGTGGTGATGGTGGTGGTGTCGGTAGTGATGGTGGTGGTGACGGTGGTGATGGTGGTGGTGACAGTGGTGGTGACCGTGGTGGTGGTGGTGATGGTGGTGATAGTGGTGGTGACAGTGGTGGTGACCGTGGTTATGCTGGTGATGATGGTGGTGACGGTGGTGACGGTGGTGATGGAGGTGGTGATGGTGGTAGTGACGGTGGTGATGGTGGTGGTGATGGTGGTGGTGACGGTGGTGATAGTGGTGGTGGTGGTGATGGTGGTGACAGTGGTGACGGTAATGGTGGTGGTGATGGTGGTGGTGATGGTGGTGACAGTGGTGATGGTAATGGTGGTGGTGACGGTGGTAGTGATGGTGGTGGTGTCGGTAGTGATGGTGGTGGTGACGGTGGTGAAGGTGGTGGTGGTAGCGGTGGTGGTGATGGTGGTGGTGATGGTGGTTGTGGTGGTGACGGTAGTGATGGTGGTGGTGACGGTGATGATGGTGGTGATGGTTGTGGTGGTGGTGACGGTGATGGAGGTGGTGTTGGTGGTGGTGATGGTGGTGTTGGTGGTGGTGATGGTGAAGGTGGTGGTGACGGTGGTGACGATGGTGGTGGTGGTGACGGTGGTGACGGTGATGGTGGTGGCGGTGATGCTGGTGGTGAAGGTGATGGTGTTAGCTGTGGTGGTGGTGGTGGCAGTGGTAGTGGTGGTGGCGGTGGTAGTAGTGGTGTTGGCGGTGGTAGTGGTGGTGGTGGCGGTGATGGTGTTAGCTGTGGCAGTGGTGGTGGCGGTGGTGGTAGTGGTGGTGGCGGTGGTAGTGGTGGTGGTGGCGGTGATGGTGTTAGCTGTGGTGGTGTAAGCGTGCGTGCATCATTGCGCGCGGTTTGGCCTGACTAGTGACCACGTGTCGATCGCCGTCAGTTGCAATTCGGAATAAATTTAAACCGATGAGCGGCCATGTTGTTCGTGTAAGTGCGTGTGTCTGTGTGCCCGGAAAAGTCCTGGCAAGGATTATTCAACATCGCCTTGCTAGGCACGCTGAGGAGAGGCTTGCGGAGCCCCAATGCGGTTTCAGGAAAGGGCGGTCCTGCACACATGCCATATTTTATGTCCGTCTGCTACAGCAGAGGTGTAGGGAATTCCAACAAGACCTACATCTCTGCTTTATTGACCTGGTCAAGGCCTATGATACCATCAGTAGGCCTGGGCTCTGGGTCGTTCTTCGTGCTTTTGGAGTACCTGACCCTCTGCTCACGCTCATTAAGGACCTTCTTGATGGTGAGCGGGCCCGGGTAAAACTACGTGGCCAGGAGTCAGAGCCATTCCCTGTACACCTTGGAGTGCGACAGGGATGTCCTCTGGCTCCAACATTATTTAACATCTATTTTGACCACGTAGTTCGTGAAGCTTTCAATAGCTGTATTGGAGGAATTTTCATTTGGTACAGATATAATGGGAGGCTGATCGATGCCCGGGTGCGGTCAAGGGATGGCTCCCTATTGCTCAACCACGTTATGTATGCCGATGATTTGGTAATAGCTGCTCATTCAAAGGAGGAGTTGGAGACGCTGCTGCTGAGACTGGAGCTTGCCACTAAGAGATGGGGCCTTACCATCAGCCCCACCAAAACTAAGCACAGGCCTGGATATTTTGTACCATCGGACACTCCAACCCCACAACTCCCAATCGGTGATAGGGCAGTTGTGGAGAGAGTGGAGAGTTTCCCATACCTTGGCAGTGTGCTCATGACCGGCTCCGGTTTAACAGCAGAGGTCTCACTCCGAATCAGTCGAGCGGAATTATCTTTTCATCAGTTGCATAACGCTGTGTGGAAGCTACCTGGTCTATCACTTCGCATGACGCTTCAGGTCTTCTCGGCCAGTCATTCCCTCCCTTCTCTACGCTTGTGAAACGTGGACCCCCCTAATGGAACATCTTCGCCGGTTAGAAACATTTATGCTGGCCTGCCTACGATGCATTCTGAGTTTAACCAGGCTGGATTGTGTGAGGAGCTCACAAATCCTTGAAAGATCTGGACAAAGTCGCATTGGTGAGCTCCTCCAGCAGAAAAAGCTGCATTGGCTGGGTCATGTAGCCCGCATGCCCAGCCACCGCATGCCGAAACAGCTTTTGTTCGGCCGGATCGAGGGGGCTAAACGGGCGCGGCACGGGCTAGAGAAGAGATGGAGTGATGTGGTACAGGAGGACGTGGAGCTGAGTGGACTTGCCGATGACTGGTACCAGCGGTGTCAAGATCGGCCTCTGTGGAGGAGGCTCGTGAAGGATGCTACTGGGCAGTTGGAGGCAGAGGAGCGACGCTCACAACAACGAGTGGAGCGCCGGGTGGCTAAAGCACAGCAAGTTGGCACAGTAGGGGGCATAGTTGGTGCATCAGCCACTCGTCTCAGTCAGTCGACCTGTGGCACCTGCGTCTGCCCCGTGACGTCCTGCCAGCGGGCGTTCGCGACTTCACGTGGCCTCAACGTGCACCTAGCCTGGCACAAGCACCGCGGTGATGTCACCACCACTTAGTTGTTATTGCTGTGTGAGTGGGAGTGCAAATGTTAGTGCTACGCTGCGCTACGAACCCGGCGACCCGAGTTCGATTCCCGCTCACGGCCACCACCACCGGTGACGATCATCTGAACCGGTCCTGGGCCTCTCCCCTAGGTCGACTCAGCCTCAAAACGAGTACCCGGTGTAGCGGTGCATAGTAAACATCGCCGCTGGAGAGACAAAGTCGGCCGGGCGTGGTATCGTCCACCCCTCCCCCCGTTTGCCACAGTGTCGACCTTCACAAGGCAGTGTGCAGGAGTTGGGTGGATAAAATGGTACTCACCCACGGCGGTTGTGGGCCGACCTCCAACCCCATCGTCGCCGTTGCCCCGGTGACCATTGCCCCGGTGACCGTCGCCAGGCGTCCCGTCGCCATGGTGACCGTTGGCGGCCTCCGCCTTGAGCTGCTTGGCATTGTGGGGGTCTCGGAAGTTGGGGGGAGGGGAGGGTCCTCCTCCCCCCACCCCCACGCAGCTTCCCCCTGCCCCCACCAACCCCAGACCTGGGCAAGAGATAGAGACACAGGCAAAGGTCCCCCGGATAGCCATCTCACGGAGCCGTCGGGGACAAGTGCTGTTAGCGAGCGGGGCTGAGCCGCCACGGTCCCTTTGTTTCGAAAGGGGGGGGGGGTGGAGTGGTCAGCACCACGCCCAGCCGCCTTTGTCTCTCCCCGTTACTCATTGGTCGCCTTAGATTTCTCTCTCCACGTTGAGAATCGCCGTCGCGCGTCCGGAGTCAATTGCCCGCTGCTGTACATTTCACATGATGGTGATGATGGTGATGATGGTGGTGATGGTGGTGATGGTGATGATGGTGTTGATGGTGATGATGGTGATGATGATGATGGTGGTGATGATGGTGGTGATGATGGTGATGATGATGGTGGTGATGATGGTGATGATGGTGATGATGGTGGTGATGGTGGTGATGGTGATGATGGTGGTGATGGTGATGATGGTGATGATGATGGTGATCATGGTGGTGATTATGGTGGTGATGGTGATGATGGTGATGATGGTGGTGATGATGGTGGTGATCATGGTGGTGATGGTGATGATGGTGATGATGATGGTGGTGATAATGGTGATGATGGTGATGATGGTGATGATGGTGATGATGATGGTGGTGATGATGGTGATGATGATGGTGGTGGTGATGATGATGATGGTGATGATGGTGGTGATGATGATGGTGATGATGGTGGTGATGATGATGATGGTGATGATGGTGATGATGATGATGGTGGTGATGATGGTGATGATGATGATGGTGATGATGATGATGATGGTGGTGATGATGGTGATGATGGTGATGATGATGGTGGTGGTGATGATGATGATGGTGATGATGGTGATGATGGTGATGATGATGGTGGTGATGATGGTGGTGGTGATGATGGTGATGATGATGGTGGTGATAATGGTGATGATGGTGATGGTGATGATGATGGTGGTGATAATGGTGATGATGGTGATGATGATGATGGTGATGATGATGATGGTGGTGGTGATGATGATGGTGATGATGGTGATGATGGTGATGATGATGGTGGTGATGATGGTGATGATAGTGATGATGATGGTGGTGGTGATGATGATGGTGATGATGGTGGTGATGATGATGGTGATGATGATGGTGGTGATGATGGTGATGATGATGATGGTGGTGATGATGATGATGGTGGTGATGATGGTGATGATGATGGTAATGATGATGATAGTGGTGATGATGGTGATGATGGTGATGGTGATGATGATGGTGGTGATAATGGTGATGATGATGATGGTGATGATGATGGTGGTGGTGATGATGATGATGGTGATGATGGTGATGATGGTGATGATGGTGGTGATGATGGTGGTGGTGATGATGGTGATGATGATGGTGGTGATAATGGTGATGATGGTGATGCTGATGATGATGGTGGTGATAATGGTGATGATGGTGATGATGATGATGATGGTGGTGATGATGATGATGGTGATGATGGTGGTGATGATGATGGTGATGATGATGATGGTGGTGATGATGGTGATGATGATGATGGTGGTGATGATGGTGATGATGGTGATGATGATGATGATGGTGATGATGATGGTGATGATGATGGTGGTGGTGATGATAATGATGGTGATGATGGTGATGATGATGGTGGTGATGATGGTGATGATGATAGTGATGATGATGGTGGTGGTGATGATGATGGTGATGATGGTGGTGATGATGATGGTGATGATGATGATGGTGGTGATGATGGTGATGATGATGATGGTGGTGATGATGGTGATGATGATGGTAATAATGATGATGGTGGTGATGATGGTGATGATGGTGGTGATGATGATGATGGTGATGATGGTGATGATGGTGATGGTGGTGGTGATGATCGTGGTGATGATGGTGGTGACGATGGTAGTGATGATGATGGTGATGATGGTGATGATGGTGGTGGTGGTGATGATGATGGTGGTGATGATGGTGGTGATGATGGTGGTGATGATGGTGATGGTGGTGGTAATGGTGATGATGGTGGTGATGATGATGTTGGTGATGATGGTGATGATGGTGATGATGGTGGTGATGGTGGTGATGGTGATGATGGTGATGATGGTGGTGATGATGGTGGTGATAATGGTGATGATGGTGGTGATGATGGTGGTGATGGTGGTGATGGTGATGATGGTGATGATGGTGGTGATGATGGTGGTGATGATGGTGGTGGTGATGGTGATGATGGTGATGATGGTGATGATGGTGGTGGTGATGGTGGTGATTATGGTGGTGATGGTGATGGTGGTGATGATGGTAGTGATGGTGGTGATGATGGTGGTGATGATGATGATGGTGGTGATGATGGTGGTGGTGATGATGATAGTGATGATGGTGATGGTGGTGATGATGATGATGATGGTGATCATGGTGGTGATTATGGTGGTGATGGTGATGATGGTGATGATGGTGGTGATGATGGTGGTGATGGTGGTGATGGTGATGATGGTGGCGATGATGATGATGGTGATGATGATGGTGGTGATGGTGATGATGGTGATGGTGGTGATGATGGTGGTGATGATGATGGTGGTGATGGTGATGATGGTGGCGATGATGATGATGGTAATGATGATGGTGGTGATGGTGATGATGGTGATGATGGTGATGATGATGATGGTGATGATGATGGTGATGATGGTGATGGTGGTGATGATGATGATGAGGGTGATGATGATGGTGGTGATGGTGGTGATGGTGATGATGGTGGCGATGATGATGATGGTGATGATGATGGTGATGATGGTGATGATGGTGGTGATGATGATGATGGTGGTGATGGTGATGATGGTGGTGATGGTGATGATGGTGGTGATGATGATGGTGGTGATGGTGATGATGGTGGTGATGGTGATGATGGTGGTGATGATGATGATAGTGGTGGTGATGGTGGTGATTATGGTGGTGATGGTGATGATGGTGATGGTGGTGATGATGGTGGTTATGATGATGGTGGTGATGATAATAGTGATGATGATGGTGATGGTGGTGATGATGATGATTTTGATCATGGTGGTGATTATGGTGGTGATGGTGATGATGGTGATGATGGTGGTGATGATGGTGGTGATCATGGTGGTGATGGTGATGATGGTGATGATGGTGGTGATTATGGTGATGATGGTGATGATGATGGTGATGGTGGTGATGATGGTGGTGATGGTGGTGATGATGGTGGTGGTGATGATGATGGTGGTGATGGTGGTGGTGATGATGATAGTAATGATGATGATGGTGATGATGGTGATGATGGTGATGATGGTGGTGATGATGATGATGGTGGTGATGGTGATGATGGTGGTGATGGTGATGATGGTGGTGATGATGATGATGGTGGTGATGGTGATGATGGTGGTGATGGTGATGATGGTGGTGATGATGATGATAGTGGTGGTGATGGTGGTGATTATGGTGGTGATGGTGATGATGGTGATGGTGGTGATGATGGTAGTGATGGTGGTGATGATGGTGGTTATGATGATGATGGTGGTGGTGATGATAATAGTGATGATGATGGTGATGGTGGTGATGATGATGATGGTGATCATGGTGGTGATTATGGTGGTGATGGTGATGATGGTGATGATGGTGGTGATGATGGTGGTGATCATGGTGGTGATGGTGATGATGGTGATGATGGTGGTGATTATGGTGATGATGGTGATGATGATGGTAATGGTGGTGATGATGGTGGTGATGGTGGTGATGATGGTGGTGGTGATGATGATGGTGGTGATGGTGGTGGTGATGATGATAGTAATGATGATAATGGTGGTGATGGTGATGATGGTGGTGATGATGGTGGTGATCATCGTGGTGATTATGGTGATGATGGTGATGATGGTGGTGATAATGATGATAGTGGTGATGGTGATGATGGTGGTGATGGTGATGATGGTGGTGATGATGATGGTGGTGATGGTGGTGATGATGATGGTGGTGATGGTGATGATGGTGGTGATGTTGATGTTGGTGATGATGGTGGTGATAATGGTGATGATGGTGATGATGGTGGTGATGATGGTGATTATGGTGATGATGGTGGTGATGATGGTGATGATGGTGGTGATGATGGTGGCGATGATGGTGATGATGATGATGGTGATGATGGTGATGATGGTGGTGATGGTGATGATGGTGGTGATGATGATGGTGATGATGGTGATGATGGTGGTGATGATCATGGTAATGATGATGGTGATGATGGTGGTGGTGATGATGATGATGGTGATGATGATGGTGATGATGGTGATGATGGTGGTGATGGTGATGATGGTGGTGATGGTGATGATGGTGGTGATGATGGTGGTGGTGATGGTGGTGATGGTGATGATGGTGGTGATCGTGATGATGGTGGTGATGATGATGATGGTGGTGGTGATGATGATGGTGGTGATGATGATGGTGATGATGATGGTGATGATGGTGATGATGGTGATGATGATGGTGATGATGGTGATGATGATGGTGGTTGCTATCATTTGTGATTGACAGGGTCGCTTCTATAATGGAGGTTTTTTATTGGGTCAGATCGCGTAAATGTATAAATGTTATAGTAATAGGTTTTACCCTTTTAACTGGCACAAAAAACTGACACCTTTATTCAAGGCATCATGTTTGCAATAACCACAACACAAGCAGTCAAAATGCAAACAAAAGAGACAACTCTGATAATAATATGCACTGTCCTTGAATTTGATTGGTCCACACCCGAGACAGCTTTTCTTAGAGCCTATTCAAGGCATCATGCAAACCTGATGCCTTGAATAAAGGTGTCAGTTTTTTGTGCCAGTTAAAAGGGTAAAACCTATTACTATATCTTGTTACTGGCAAAGGAGGTCTCATAATCTAAATGCTCACCCCGAGCCCTCAATACTCTGATAGTGCGCTGTTTTTGAGTTGTACGCCTTTTGGCGTCTTCTGGTCCAACACCAGTGGAGACTAGGCTCTAAG